TGAAAGCGGTGTATATGTGGAAATGGCATTCAGACCACATGCCAGGTTATCTGATTTCCTTTTCAATTCCACGTATTGTTCTGTTCATTATATTTTCTAGAATTCTATAGTAAAATGTTTACTGAATTATTAGCGCTCATTGAATGTTTTTTGATATTCAGTGTTTGTTTTCAGCAATATACCAGTATATAGGTTTTTGACGGTGACTTACCCAGACATATGTAAATGAACATCATACACAGACAAAGCAGTATCGGTGCTAATATTGACCAACCATGCATAGATGATTTGGATTCGTTGTCAGTCCCACTGAGACTGTCTATCTCCTTGACGGTGGGACCATCTCGACAAGGAGATTGAAGATTGTTGCTGTAGTTTGAGTTGGAACGAACATAAAAAGGCTCTTGCAAACCTGAAAAGAAAAATCGTACCATTTTATCTGAATAACCTTCCAGTTACGAGTTTATTAAACAAAACATTGATCAACTAAGTATTCTCTGGTCCCTAACAATTTGTTTCATGAAACATTTTCCATGTTAATCAGATTTATCGATGAATATTACTGGAGTTTTTTCCTAACACCAAATCACTGCAATGGGGAATATGTTTAATCACATTTTGCGGAAAAGCAAATAATAGATGTACGGTTTTGAGCGCGTTTCAATTGTTTAATTTACGTTCTTCGGTACAGTGCATTATCTGGTACATGTAAATTAGTACGCACGTAATTAACCAATTCTAAATGCGATTATCGACAGTTCTATTAAGTATTATGGATAGTTGTTATTTATTATGAATTGGTGAGATGTAATTATAGTGGGATATTTGATAGTGCTGGGAGATTATCTTTCCATTATTAGTTGTGCTCGTTCGTTTGAATCAAAAAGGATTAGCCCTGGAAATTTATCAATGAAACCATTATGCAGGGTGACAATTTGATAGCTAAATCTGAGCAACTAAGTAAAATATAAGAAATCGCGGAAGGCGACTTCGATAGTAGGAAGGGAGAAACAAAATTATATAATAGCTAACTTGTTTTCACTTACTTATAAAGTGACTTATAAAGTACTGTTCCCGAGTAGAGAGGACTGGATCCTCCAGGAGAAGGAAATATTAAGAGCAGATAGTTGTTGATTCACAGATGGATCAAAAACACCTTCCGGTTCTGGTGCAGGTGTTCTTAGTTGCAGACCCACGACAGATATATCTACCTGCCTAGGAACCTATGCGACTGTATTTCAAGCGAAAATTTACGCTATTGTATTGTGCGTAAAGAGATTGGAAGAATCCAACCTCATACACAAGTCAATAAAAATATTCTCGGACAGTCAAGAGGCGTTGGATGCTCTTGGCTCCTACCGAGCAACGTCTAAATTGGTAGAAGATTGCCAAAAACGACTCTCCTCGATAGGAAGATTTAACAGACTGTCTCTGGTTTGGATACTAGCCATACTTGCCTGTAAGGCAATGAGGCTGTTGACTAACTTGCAAAGGAGGATGCTGCAAGCAGCTTCTTTGGACCAGTACCTATCATAGGCATCGCTTCAGGCTTTGCCAAACAAAGATTGAACATCTGGATGGCAAGAAGATTTATGGACTTCTGGCAGAATTTTCCAGGATTGGCTCACTTCAAGGCGTTTATTCACCCTTCGGAGCTTGATACCAAACAATCGTTGAACTATAGTAGGGATGAACTATGATGTCTAACAATCCTTCTTACAGGTCACTGTCATTTGAATCATCATATGCAGAGACTCGGACTATCGGAAGACAGAGTGTGTCGCCTCTGTGTGGAAAATGATGAAACAGCAGAGCATATACTTCGTGCCTGCTCCGCTGAGGACCGAATCAGATTTTTAGAGTTCGGCAGGGCCGTACTCTTACCATCTGACCTGAAAGACCACTCACCATACAAACTAATCGGCTTCGTTAAGAAGCTGGGTTTATTTGGTCGAGTGTGAATAGTTGTGAGTCACAATAAATCCTTGCGAATTGCAGTGGAGGGTCGAATAAACCCACTCACATTGAACTCAACCCAATCTAACCTACCCCCTCGCTCCCAGCCACCCCAACTTTATATTCTCAATTCTCAACCCCCCACTTGTGATACCTCAACTGATAGCTCTTAAAAAATGCTGTTTAATGGTATCGAACAAAGCTGAATTGAATGTAGTAAGTTTTGGTTTGTTGAATAAAATACTATTTATTTGTATTAAAATTTTATTGTGCTTTATTAATATGAAAAATGTTTAAAAACATTCGTATTACCATCGTTGCATTGATGTTAAGACTGCCAAACATTTTAGGCACGTACTATCTTTGTTTATTTGTACCTGAAAACATTTGACATGGTTGATAAGTAAAAGAAACAAAAAAGAGTTGTTAGAAATATTTGTTTTGTGAGGTATTTTTGTATTGCATTTTTTACTTCAAAACGGGAACGATACTCTTATTATCAATATCTTTTTTTTAATATTTCGATACTTTGTACACGAGAAACATAATTTTTATCTGCAAAAATGGTGTACAACACAGCTGAACGTGTAGAAATGTTTGTTAGGAACAACTGAAGTATTTAACTAGAGGCACCCGGAGAGGAATCTAAGTCATGTGTACATTCGCCAACTAGTAGCAAAATTTCAAGAAACTGGTACTGTTACAAATGAAGAAAAGGATCAACCAAGATTACTGGACGAAGTAACGGAAATTGAAGTACTCGGACAACTACAGCAACCGGATTATCCCGCGAATCTGTGAGAAAAGTACTTGAATTACATACATTTCATCCATTTTAAATGCAAAACCTTCAAAAACTTGGTGACAATGACAGCTAGAATTATTTTAGAACAAAAAATATTTGCTTGAGTGAAGAGTGCGCTTTCTATTCGAATGGGCACGTAAATAAACAAAAGTGTCAGTTCTGGAGAAACGAGAACCCACGACTATTTAAAGAAGGGCAGACGCAATACCCCTAAAAAGTTGATGTTGGGCTGGTATATTGGGAGAAGCAATTATTCAGTTCATTATTTATAGAAGGAAATTCAAAAGGCAAAATATGTGCTCTCATGCTAGAAAGATCTATCGAACCTCTATTACATTTTCAACAGTATGGGGCACCTCTTCATTATGTAGTTTCCTTTAAGCAATGGTTAGGTAGTAATTATGCTAATCAATATATTGGAAGGAGAGGTCCTATTGAATGGCCACCTAGATCCTTGGACCTATCTTCTCTTGATTTCTTCGTCTGGGGCCACTTGGAGTCTGTTGTTTTTAAGATGCAACCTGACTCAATAGAGCAACTGAAGAAAAGAATAATCCAAGAATGCCGAGCTATTTCCAGAAAAGTATTTGCTACTGTACGGTAAGAATTTGAAAATGTACTCTAGTATTATCTTGAACATTTTAAACATTTCTTAAATTGTAAAACTTCAATTCAAATAAATAGTGTTTCATTTCATAAACCAAAAGCTACTACTTCGAACGTAGCTTTGTAGGGTACCATAGAACGGCATTTCTCAAGACCTTTTAGATGAATATCACAAGAAGGGGGTTGCCATTTGAGACTATAAAGTTGGGGTGGCTGGGGGCAGCGGTGGTGAGTGAGAACAAGTTGGCTATTACATAAGTTTGTTTTCCCCTCCCTATTATGGAAGTTGTTTCCAGCGATGTCTTATATTTTATTTGGTTGCTCAGATAGAGCCATTGTTTGTGAGTTTTCAAATTGTCACCCTGTGTATAAAATAACTAAAGAACAAGAAGCTCACAAAACAAATTCCAACTTGGAAAAGTTGGAGTTACTTCGAAATACACTGTTCTGAAATTTACTTGCTCTAAAAAGAAAAAATATGAACTTTTGAGTGGGTCAAACCCATAAATGTATTATATCACACAATTGATACTATATGAAATATTATCGCAAGATCTACCTATTTCATTAAAAACACAGTTTAATCTAGAGGAAAAATTTCTCATCATATGAACTGTGTGATGTATAAATTAATTGGCTTGATTTAATTCAAGATTAATTATACTTTTTGAGAGCTGGTGAATAAGTGAGAATTGTATTTCCACCATTTTTTTGTATTGCTGAGCATACTCCTCAGTATGTTCATTTCATTTATTGCGTCACTGTTGCATGATCGGTCTCCACAACATTTGCTAACCAACACTATACAATTCCTAACTTTTGTCGAGTTGTTACTCTTCGAAATAGGTATGGCGCCATCTTGTTTTCTGCCATTTTGAATTTCTTCACTTGATCCCTTTCATTTGATATTCATATCATAGGGGTGCATAAACAAACTGTTCAGCATCTTTGAGAGTGAGCCATATTGGATTTAGAGCGACTTCTGCTTCCAAGCTTAACTTGACTGTACTCAAAAGAAGTCATTCATTGCGCATACCAACCGTGGTAGGATGCCAACTTGTTAGGTTGATGTGACTACTCATTCGACCGCTGTGTGAATCGGTGGTTCAAACCGCGACGCCAGACGATCGATTTTCACTTTCTACCGTTCAACCCGTGCTAGGAATCACACGTTGGAAGGTAGGACCTCGTTAGTCTTTAGCTCGTACAAGTTTCGACATGTGCGACGAAAGAAAAAACGATTTTAACAGATTTTTCAAACATCACAAATAATTTTAATAGTATATAATGCCTAAGGAGCGTTCAATTTCTGTAATACTTTCAACATGTTGCGTTCAACTCACTTAGCCTGCCCAATTTCTCTGAAAGCGGTGTATGCCAAAAGTACGCGACAAAATACTTTCTAAATTTTTTTGAGAATAAAACACAAGCACTACGGGGAAATCCTTAAGGCACTCTCAGAGCGGTGCCTGCGCGAAAGTAGTGATTCACATTGGATTTGAATCGCTGGAGATTACATACATATTGAAAAACTTTCTCAGGAAGTTTACTCCAGATGAAAACAGTTCTCCAATTGAAAGAGTTGTTGAACAGTGGAGTTAGAGGTGTACTGAGTTGAACTTCAAAAAGATGAGCAGCCACAGTTCGTCGCGTATTTCTGATATGTACCGCACTTGGTGGAATCAACTGTGCTAAGTCACTTGAAAAGTATCGATAGAAGAGAGACAAATCTCCAACCTTTCTTCAATTTTCTAGGCTATCAGGGTTGCACGTGATGTTTGCATCTCCAATCACGCGGATGGGTCTTTTCTGGATGAAATCCAGCATCTTCAGGGTATGTTTGGGAGCAGAGCTCCATACGTAAGAACAATACTCCAAAGAAATCCTGATCTGAGCTTAAGTATCAAAAGTTGATGAAGCATGTATAGTTTTTTGGTTTCAAACTTTTGAGAAGCAGCTCTTGCAATTCCAGCGACATGATTATTGACTCATTGAAGCAGAAAGCGGAATTATCTGACCTGACATTATTATATCCGGTAGGGAGA